CAGTTTTTTTAAATCACTAGGGGGAACTCCTCAGAATCTCACTTTCAACAGTGATGGAGTGTTCTCAAAGCCTCAAAGTCCTAAAATCCTTTTAAAATCATGAAGTAAGAACTTCACTGTCAAGCTGACTGAGTGCGGGAGGGTGGGGGGTTGTGGGGAGGCATTATCTTGTGATGGATCTGAAAATGAATCCTTGCAAAACAGCCTTCGTTGCATGCAGACATAGCCTCTCATTTGATCCTCGTAGCTAGGCTACACTGCCGCCACCATTAACTTATCTACAGATGAACAAATGAAAGTTCTTGGAGATTAAGTAATTTTCCCAAAGTTTCACAGAAGTATGATTTGTACCCGAGACTGGCTGACACCAAGCCAATGTTCTTTACCATAAGGAAAGAAAGAAAATACACAATTCAAACCCAACAAAACAGCCACAGAAAAGCATGACCCATACCTTTAGAGCTATGCTTGTACTTGTGGCCAAGTTAAGAGCTGGCAGATGAAACCCAATTTTAAGAGAAACCCTTGTGCCCTCAGCTGCAGGTAGCATTACCTGTGTAGTCTCCGTGAGTCGATGGACCCTGTCTTCGTCTTGAGTGGTCTAATTCAAAGTTTCTGGGGCTCTTATATCTTCTTGCCTCGGGAATCATCTGACCTTTCTTCTAATCGTAGAACAATAATACTGTTTACCCATAAAAATCCATCCATAAATGTCTTATCTACAGCTGTGAAAAATAAACCGTATGTTAGATGGCTTGGGAATGCATATCAGTTGTGTTTGAAACACTCCAGAGATGTATCCCGCCCTGTTTGCAAACAGAATCTTTTCTTTAGAACCCATACTGTCAAAGCTGTCCATTTTATAGCATATCATTTCTCTATCTCCTTTCTAATCCTTTTGCGTTGTTTCAGAACTTCCTCCTTTCTTCATTGGAAGCTGCCCCATAGCCGCAGTGAAGAATCGCTCTGCTTCTCTCTTTGCAGAAAAGGACTTGCCATCAGGGTCAGTCAAAGCCGACCAGCTGCAGGAGCACATACAGACTCTGGAGCACATACAGACTCTGGAGCACATACAGACTCTGGAGCACATACAGACTCTGGAGCACATACAGACTCTGGAGCACATACAGACTCTGCTTCCCGGAGCATCAGCCCCTCCCCACCCGGCATGCCTTAGGTTCCTAAACTCTCTTCTAGGGGACTCAAAAAATT